TATCTGCTTTGATTGCAGATTGGATTTTGCCTTTCATCCATGTAGAAGAGAGAGATAAAATAGTACATCTGTCCAGTCTGAAATTCAAGGAAGACGAGACAGAGGCCCTATGTGGGTATATCCCATGTAAACAGGGGCCTGTGCATTGTGTAAATTAGGTGGATTAGCCCCTGCTTTTGTTGGACGTGGTGTGTACACACGGACACTCCTAAAGCCATTTTGGCCCTCACAACTTTAAGGAAGTCTTACATAGCCAAATCTTCAGCCGGAGATGATCTGAAGGGAGACTTCTTTTGAAGTCACTCAGCATTCCTCTGTGTTAGTTCAGGTTTTGTTTGGCGAAATGCAAAAACATTTAAATCAGTCGGAGCCTCCTGTGCAAAGAAGAATAGGAAAAAAACGTCCTTCTTATTACAATAAACCCGGGATTAGTTAAAAAAACTACTGAACCGCAGACTGTGATGGAGACATTTAATTATCGAATCAAAAATAATCAACAGATGCCAGCATGATTGATTTGAGTGACATGGCGTTTAGGAAATGTGGCAATGTTCAATCTTACACAGCACAAATATAGTGCCAACGCCAAACCAACGCGTGTGCGTGTGAGTGCACGCATGCTGTATTATAAGGTGTAAATATAAACATTTGCGCATATCTCTTAATAATTCCTATTTGAACCAATTACGCCAGATAATTTTAGCGGCTTGTGTATTAGCCGTGGCTTATTAAAACGTCCCCACAACGTCTATCTTTAGGCTATATCAATCATCCCAACATGATTCACCGAAATCATTTAAAAGAGGATGTGTGATGCTCATGCTAGCCCTTATCTCTGGCAGGTGGGTCTGAAGGGATTTTTTTTAAATAGTGTTTTAAGATTATTTTGTATTATTATTTGGTGCACATTTGTGCAGATCGAAGAAAAGGCAACATCGTATTTTTCATTAACCTGTGTCTGTTTAATTACCCTCTCCCCTTTCTGCTGCCTTGTTGCTATGGGTATGCAACAGATATCTGCGAAGAAAGAGGAAACTGTATTACATCGGGCACCAATTGATGTAATTGCCCTGCATATAACAACCTATCGTTTTAGTTGCTAAAATAAAGCTGATTGGAAAACAGCCTTAATAAAGACGTTTTAATGACAAGCTGAGTTACACATATGAATCAGAAGGCCTTTAGGCCCAGAGTCCGGACGGGGTTTTCATCAGAATTCATCCACCTGTAGCCTCGAGTCTTTTCTTCAGTTTGCCTTCGCGAAAATGTAAAAATTAAAACTTTTTTCATGTGTAAGTGTTTTTTGTGTTTCTTCTGTCAACTATTTCGTTTAAGTTGTTTAGAATTTGTTAGGCTTATAATTTTCTGCATGTTATTTGAACTGGGCTGCTGCTTTATTTCGTTATGACTAATAACATGTTTATTAAATAACATAAAGGGTAGAACAATGTATTCAGACGCTCAAAAGTGTAATTAAAATGTGTTAAATATGTTCTTGTGTAATTTTTTCCCCACTCAACCATTATTACAGAGGGAGAAACTAATTTATGTTAATTATAATTACTTTATTCAAACTGTTGTTGCCATATGTCAATTTAGAAATCATCCTTTTCAATGACAGATAATTGTCCAAGGAGTAAACTATTAATATATTAAAATCATAATTAGGCTATGATAAAAACTAATATTTAGCAGCTACTGCTCTTCTGGAAAGGTTTTAGATTTTGAATCACCAAAACATTGTCGTGTTATAAATACATTTTATTTTAGACTTCAGATCGCATGGAATGATTTTGCGTTGTTGCGTCTTTTTGTTTGAGAGTTGGCGCATTGACTTCGAAAGAGGGGATTCAACACTGAAAACTTCTCCAATGGGCAGATAATTTTAGCGGGTCATCTCAGTTCCTGATACTTTTCAAATGAGTTCAAATATGACGCTCCTCATCACATTAGCTTGTTTTGAACTGAGTAGAGAGTGAATTGTTCAAATAATCCCTTCGCTGCATTATTCGATTTGTTTCAGAAGGAATTCATCTTTACACTTAAATGTGTCGAGTTAGTTGAATAATAAGAATATTGCATTTAGTTTCTGAAATTAGGAAAACAGTTTTTTAAACTGAATCCATGTTTATGAAGTTGGTTATCCATGTTTAACAGGTATAAAAAAGTAAATACCCCCCCCCCCCCACCCCTTTCATGTAGGAAGTCTTAATTAAATAACGTTTCCTTTGTGTTTTGTGAAAGGGAGAATGTCTCACCGTCTGCTCCACTGAGATATATATCCTCCTGTCCAACAATCAGAGGGGAATCATATTAATTCAACCAATGCTGCAAAGTACAATGCAGCATACTGTAAGTCACTGCTAAAAAAAAAAGAAGGTGTATCTTTACATGATGAATTGTAACTTCATGCAAAAAGTAACATTTCAATCTGAGAACATTTTTTGATTTCATCCCATCAGGACCCAAATAAATGTCCATGTCCATCCCCCTGTGAACATGGGATAAGGAGAAGGTAAATTAAACAGACTATTATAGAAAAACTATTTCCTGCCTTCCATCTGACACTCATGAGGAAGATAAGATGTTGTAATGAGCTTTAGAGAGTATTAACATTGTAAATGACACAGATGTATTGAAAGCTGTGGTAAATGCAGGGGAAGCTTTACGACAGGGGACAATGATACTTTGGAGTATTCTAGTGTGTAATAAACCATTAGATTGAACCAGACCAGCTAATTTGCTGCTTTGCATCTTAATGGATTATTTATTTAAAGACAGGGTCATTAAATTCATTAGTGTGGCGACTGCAACTACATGTCTAATTTTACAGTATATAGTATGTCTATGGAGTTAATTGTGCCTAATTGTGTGTGTCCTGGAATGTTTGCTCTCATCATAGTTGTCTTTTTGTCTTTGCCTTCATGTGCCCATGTGCCAATGTAAGTGTGTGCCCATATGTGGGTGTATGAGTGTTCCACTGTTACTCTGTGCCTGTGTGTGTGCCCATGTGTGTTGTATGCAGCCTATTAGTGGAGTTTAACCCCTGTGTTCAGGGAGTCACATCCCCTCAACACACCAGGCTCCATTCTTACTGCAGCACGTTAACATTTTACTCTCTTCCCTCCCCAGCCACCCCCTTCACTTTTGTCCTAAGAGGGCAATTAAGGAAACAAACGTTTTCCCCAAGATAAGCTGGCTGCCAGCTTTGCATACTAATGCAATGCCAAGTGGTTACAAATAGTGAGTGCTCTAATTACCACCACTGTTTTCAATCAGAAATTGCTCAATTTCCCAGGATGAGGTCTCCATGGCTGGAGAAAAAAAGCACAACCTGACAGAGGCAAGAGACAATCATCTCTACGTGGAGTGTTGCTGATTTTGTGTGTGTGCTCATGTGCCTGTGTGTGTGCACGTGTGTTGGTGCAAATAAACTCATCTGCTTGTGTGTGTGTAGACCCCGTCGCGACCCTCTCTATCACTGCTGCCCTTGACAACTCAGGAAATGGATCCTGTCAGCCTCCACAGCATTTAGCACCACAATTATCCCCTTTTCACAGCCAGGCTGCATTAATGTAAACCACACCAGGCAGTAGTTGCCACTCAGTGATGAGCACGATGTGGTGCACTATCTCAGGGTGAGCAATTTGGTGCAATTTTGCTACTGTGTGATCATCAGTGCAAATCAGGCCCTGCTCATTTATTAAGCAATTTCTGTTGGGGAAAATTAGAAGGCAAGCTCTTTTAATTTGGCAGGAAAATGTAATATCTCTAAAAGCAACAATAAAGTATAATGTGTCTGACATCAAACAAAAAAAGGGATAGAGAAGAGAGTTTAGCTCGCACCCACCCATAAGGGAGGTGCGTACCAATTACGGGAAGAATAGCCATCGTCATGCAGCCACCAGGAGACGGGGGCAGCACAGACTAAATTGACAAGGACTCACTCCCTGGGTGTGAGAATGAGTCACTCCATAGGATGCCCACACAGGACCCATCCGTTGGCCTTAGTTGACCTTTAGCTCTGATGGTGCTTAATGGTGGGCTGGCCCTCGATCAATGCACCGGGAGATGGGGCTCCGCATCCCTGCCCTTTCACCGAGCCAGGAAGGGACGGATGCTTCCAGAAGCCACGCCGCTAAGCCATCGACCCTGCCACCTTCCCATCCTGTGGGTGACAGCTGCAGTGCCAATCGGCCTAGGGATGCCACGCTGCCCTGCCACAGAGGAAGGACTGCCAGGATTCTTTATCTGTTCTGGTGGGAGGGAAAGTTACTGATGATCTGCTTGTGAATGTCAGATCCCTGTAAACAACCAGCAAATCCTTTGGTATGGACATGTTGATTTAACGGCCTGCCCCAGCACCAGTATTTATGGCCTGCATAGCAAGATGAAAACTTGTCTATCTACAGATCTCCTAGGTATATTATTTTGTGTATTGTAAAATATGTTTGTGTTTTCAGCTCACAACGTTTTCCTAAGCTATTTCAATGTAGTTTTTCCCTTGCCATTGTATTGAGGTTTAAAAACAAAATCCACTTAACTGCTTACATTTAAGTTGTACGAAAAGCTGAAAACCTTTTGTCAGTAAAAAGTTTAAGTTGCTATCAACAAAGCCAGACGCCTGTACAACCCATAAAAAAAAAAAATGCTGGAACTTCTCTTTGCATTTTGATCATTCTTGGCATTTGTTTTGCACTTAAAATGTTACCGTAGGGAATATGTTGCCTCGTGCATCACCATGTAAGATGTGCCTGATGTTGTGCTTGGTGGTGTACTTTGTAACCCAGATGGTGCACCACTGTATATCTTTTATCAGCCATTTTTTCAATAAACAATGCTTTCGTAGAAAACATAAAAGACATTTACTGTGCATTTTAATTGCATATACTTCAATTCAAACATGTTAAGATATGCAAAACAATTGCAGATAAAACACTCATTCCATATGGAGCGAGAAGAGAAGACAACCAAGAGGTTTAGCACAGATTGTTCTTTTTATTATCATTAACAGTAATGTGATTCTGAAGCCCCCCATGACCTCCTCACAGCAGCCCCTCATCTCAGAAGTCATTCATTAGAACAAACAGAAGGCAGGCAGAAAGACAGCGAGAAAGAGACATGGGGAGAGAGCAAAGTGTAAAATAAATTAGATTGTTCTTATTAGATGAACCACTTTGAGATGGCAAAGGAAATAAATGCTTGAGAAATTCAAAGCATATCTAACAGTACAGTGTTTGGAGATGAAGATGTCATGTGAAGCCCATGATCCAGTTGTTGGTCGAGTGCTATGAGTGTAATCACAGTTACACTTATTGTCCATTTTTGGTTGTAGGGCCCACGGGGAGCCTAGAAAAAAAGGGTCAGAGCAATGTTTGGATTTAGATTGCAGCTGCAGTGTTTCTGTTCAGCATGTGCTGATGCAGGCTGTGTTGAAACTAATCAAAAAGCTTCTTATGTCTTCTTCCTCTGATATAAATGGATTGTACAGTCCTTCATGATTTGGCCCAGTGTTTAGTGAATACGATTTCTTACACTGGAGTGACAGTAAAGGCCACCTCTCTCAGTTTAGTTCCCCTGGTTCCTTTTTCATAAGAGCAGTGAGAAGGCGTTTCGTCATATCTGCCCCCCCCCCCTGGTGCTTCTTATCAGGCCTTTAATGGTCGAGCTCTATACATGTTAATGTATGAATGTATACATATGTGAGGATGAAAATATGATACCGAGTGGTCAGAGGCTCTGTTGGGCTGGGGCGACAGGGGAGGGGGAGGAGAGGGGGGATGAAGAGAGCCGTGTGGATCCTTGGAGTGGTGTGACAGACTCCCCAGCCTCCTGGTAGGATTTGTTGGAATGTGAGAGAGGAGGATTTTAGCACCAGGCGAGCCACGCCAGAGTGCTGCAGACTTCATGCCATCTGTCTCAGCCTCCATCCTCTCCTTGCCAAACTCATCAGACCTTTATTTCCTCTCCCTCTATCTCCTTCTCATCCCTGTTCACAAGAGTAGCGGACATACTGAGATCTGCTAATGTATTGGAGGGAAAAAAAATGGCTAGGCTTAAGAAACAGATTCAAAAAAACGCAATTGATTAATATGTATTCTTGGAGCTAATTGTCCGACAGCCCTCATGGGGATAAAATGTGTGTTCGATAGCCCTGCCATTTGTTAATTGACCAACAGGGAAAGAGAGATGGAGATTCTCCTACCATAAGAGGTCTGTTGATCAGTTAATCATGAAACATGTTTCAAGTGAGAGCCAAAAAGGTCACTTCATTTAATGCATCATTATACACCATTACCTTCACAAACCTTTCTGTATTATACTGTATTATGGTATACATGTCTTAATAAAATATAAATGAAATATAAGCCTCTTTGTTGATGTGGTTATTTTGTCAGTGAATTAAAAAATAAATGTGTGGATGCACTATACTAAGAGAATGTATCCAGTTACACCTGTTTTAGTTCTTAAAACGAATGTAGAATGTTAACAAAGGTAACAATTAATAACCAAAAACGTTCATGATATGCATTCTAAGCCATGATTAAATCAAAAGCAGATTTTCACATCAAATGGGTGTGTGATTTTGAGATGTTTGGATAGGACTGATCTCTCACCCTCTCTCCCCGTGGGGGAGACTGGGGAGGTGAGGATCACAGAGACGAGCTGTACGGGCTCCATGTCCTTAACCTGTTCTGAGAAGGGCCATGGAGGGTGGAGGGAGTGGAAAGGAAATGTGCCCTCTGTCCGAAACAGAACACCAGGTGGCAGGAAGTGGGCTGGAGGCCTTTGAAGATGACCCCTGGTCTCTGCGCTGGGACGGACTCAGCCATCGATCGGGCCAGAAATGGCGGGGAGGGGAGCCAGGTGCCCCCAGAGAGCCTGCAGACCACGCAGATTATTGGCGAGGACCCAGCCTCGCTGCCCCCAGTCATATCACTGCTCAGACAGCCAGAGTCTACTGGCTGCACCCTAACAAGCAGGCGAACACTGACGACAGTCTGGTGCACAACACGCTCAACAGGCATCATATGAGAACTATAGGAAGGAGTTACACTGAAGAACAGAGGAAGATTTGGGTATGAAACATTGACTAATCGGTGGGTGTGCATACATGCTATGGTACATATGCCAAATTAATGTCATGCAGATCATATTATTATTAAAAAATACAACCACAGATTGCATTATGAATGCCTTTAGAGACTGCTGCAGGAGTTGCTGAAATAACACCAAAAAAATCAAGATAAGGGTATCAAAAAGGAACAGAGAGAAAAATAAAACATAAGAGGGAAATTAATTTAGCAGATGTTTGCGCATAATGTGGACACGCATGTGAATGTGGGTATAGGCTACTAAGTGATCCGGTAAATTGCAGACATGCTTGAAATTGTCAAAAGGAAAACATCACAATGAACAGACAATGTGTGCTTTAGGGTACCTTTGCCTGCAACACTAATGCAACATATCTTGGGATAAAGCTGAAATAATAATAAATGAGTGAGAAATGGGTATCCTAAGTAGGTTATAAATGTCTATGAATCAGGCAGCCCTTTAAGCTACAACAACACAACACTGTTTAAGCATTTGCATTTTGTTCAGCTTTAGAAGAGGTGAGCGCTATCAGTTTCTGAGCGCCCATCCCTCTGTATCTCTCAGATGTTTACTGCAGCACACAACATGCAAGCAAAAACACACATGCACACACACTTAAATGTACAAACAGAAACTCTAATCCTGACCCACCCCCCTGCTCTTTCTCGCCCTGCTTCCCTCCCCGGGCGTGGAAATGAAAGCTGGGCTATTCGGAGAGGATGGCTGCAAGAAATAAAGACGTGTCTGATTTCTGCAGCAACCAATGGTGATGCAGCGCTCCATACTCTCTGCCCTCTGATAGGTCTGTGCCACTCTCTTCATCTGGAGGCCCATGTCATTCCCTCTAATCCCCCTCCCTAACACAAACAGGCCAATCCTGAGACAGGGCTCAGGGGCTGTGGAGGGAGACAGAAGCTGAGGCATGGTGGAAGGAGTGAGGGGTGTAGTTCAGGAGGAGAGAAAGGAGCACCAGTAGCTGATGTTGGTGTGAGAAAGACCAAGTGTGTTATTATTAATAAAGCATTAAAAAAGTGAGCACATCAAAGCATACAGGGGATATGCTATCATACATGAAAGTACTGCACTATGGCTTAATGTTTCCTAAGGCCTGTTATGGCGACACTGCTTTGATTTGAAATGCATTGTGTGGAAAATGGATTTACAGGAGTGGGACGAGAAAGCTTGGAGTGGGTGCAGACCATAATTTAAAACCTGACCTCATAGGCTCTTCAAAGTATCAGTGAGTGTGGACATTTAGGACTTAGGTATATGTGTGAGACATCTAGCACAGCTATAAAACAAATACATAAACATACAGTACATGTAAGGGTTGTGGAGAGAACTTGAGAAAACAGAACGAGCAATAACTGTCACACAGAAATGAAAAATACATGTCACATTTCGATTATAAGAGACTAATTTTTCAATTTTCCTTTATTCTTTCCTTTCCGAGCAAAGGGTGTCCGCACCTCATTATATTGCTCCTTCGATCAAGGCCTGCAGGTTGTGAGACATCTTTCTGATGGTTCCCCCGTGGCCAGGTAATTATCCTAATCTACCTTCCTCCTGTGCTCCAGCTCCTGTGCCCACACTGGCTCAGACCACCTCTGTGTCTTCATTATCGGAGCTGGGGCTCATTAATGGCTCGACGGCCTCAGTGTGCAGGCTGCTGGCAGAGAGAAACCTTGTGTAAAGGAAAGGAAGAATTCTGGAGAAGCAGGAGGAGGAGGAGAACAAGAATAAGAGGGAAGAAAAAATTAGACTCTAAAGAGCAAGGGGCTGCCCTAAAGGTTAACATCTCAATCATGAGGGACAATACTCTCTAGTCCAACGGCTTTGGCTTCTTAAAAGTCATCGCTTGCTGATGGAGGATGAGGCTATAGGGCATAACGTTGTCAAAGAGGAAGCCAGAGGAAAGCCAAAGAAATGTCTGCAGGGCATAATGACCATGAAGCATGTGTGTTTGTGACAAGTTGCCGTGTCCATGTGCACGTCTCTTACACACCCCCACCTTGCTTGTTTCAAACAGCTTTAACCTCACAACATACAGAAGGACTGGGGGTGGAAAATCAGTTTCACTATCTTTTTTTCTGACAAATGACACCCTGACAGTTGGAAAAAATGTTGGGGTCCCTGAACAGATTTCTCAGTTACAAAAATAAAATGTGTTGGATTAGACAAAGACAGACATTTTACATTCTACTTTTGAACCCCAATGAGAGCACTGACAAATGCCACCCCACCCCCACTCCGTCTGTGCCATGATTGTTTTTCTCTCTCCAGAAATGTCATATAGTTAAGAGGTGATAATTCTATATGGCACAAACAGACACTGACGTCTTCCAAGTGTACATAGCATATAGGCTGACACAGATTGAGATGGTGTAACATGTCCTTGCCTCACTCTAAATAGCCATGAAAGCTTTGCTCACTCTTTATATATCAAGAGATTCAAGTGGAAACTTCTCTCGAAAATGGATAAGGAACTGAAATACAGTGCCCTAGGGGACGAGAAACATATATATATCTGAGGTTAAAGTTACTGCATACCTAAGTGATGTGTGAAAATCTGTAACACTCATGTTTCTGTTTAGGTGTACAACTCGCCAGGAATGCAGAAAACGGCATGTAAAAAGCAGCATATTAAATTGTCCAAGAGTTGGCGTTAACTTATTCAGTTTGGAAAGAGAATCCGCCAACATATCATACGTTTAATGCATATTTATAAAATGCTGATTGATGAGGCATGTTAACATGAGTGTGCTTAGGCCTTGACTACAGGGAAAAACACTTCTGAAGGCTAAATGAAAAACTGAATTACAGCTGGCGAAGCAATGGTCCACACTCACATTATACTACATTATAAAAGTGTAGATGGGTTTGTACCTTTATATATACAGTCTATGGTTTGTACCAGTAAAATTATCAAAATTCATCCTAAGCACTATCACACTCCAAAATCAAAATTATTAAACTGTGCTCTTTTGCAGTCTGATGGTAGCGCTACCGGGATAAAATAAACTGCAAAAACGACATGTTATGATACGTTATACAGGACTGCAGAAACAATATGGCAAGATTACTACTCTCAAGTATGATGATGTAATGAGGTTTTTATAGTCTGTGATAGTAATAGTAGTGCAGGGAGTGGGTTTTGAGCTAAAGGTTCAGTATATAAATTACAAAATAAAATATTGGTTTAATTGGTCTGGGTTTTGAGATATCTATTTCTGGGATTTCTGCCTCCACCCTCCGGAAAAGGACTATTTCTTCAATATTCAATATTTTCCATTGAGATTGCAGATTACACAGAGTAACTAGTTAACCCTTCAAAAAAAGCATTGCTTTATACTAGTTTAAAAGGTTTTCAAATGTCATTAATGTTTTAACACCTGCTGAAAACAACAAAATCTCATTGCATGGCAATGGCATTATTTAAATGTTTGTAAATTGACTTTTTAAAAAGGCAGCTCAGGTACTGTGTATCACTATCCAGACTGCTCACGCGGTCTATACGCCAGAAATCTGGTACAAACGATAGTGTGTGGGTGTATTAAGAGCTGTTGTAAAATCTGAAATGTTGTGCTTTTTCCCTTGCTATTAGTCCTGCTTAGCATTGTCCTTAATGGTGTTATACTGGTGGCTGAAAATTATATAGATACAAAAATATAAAATATCAAGATCAACAAGAGAAAAAAAAACATGTTTGTATTCACACTTTACTAATCTTACATGCAGATAACATGACCTTGTATCCTGGTGTAAGTATTGACTTACATTAGTGATACAGATGTTATATGAGGCTCTATTACTCACATTACCACAGAAGCTTCGGAGCATTGCCAACATCGTCTATGCACCCCTGAATAAAGTAGGTTTCAGAGACCACCTTATTTAAAATAATATTGTTGTTACTTAAATACATCCCATATCTTCAAAAATACATTTACAGCATCTTTACATCTTTTGTATTTTCATTTAAAAAAAGGTCTATATTTCCCATGTGAGTAACAAAAGGACGTCCCCTCAGAGGTAGGTAAATACGGTATGTAAAAAAATCTGAGCTAGAAATTTGGTACATTGACAGAATGTCTTTGATTGAACATTCAGTAGAAACAGCCTCGCCCACTTGCTACAGTGAGGCTACATATTGAAATGTTTCCAGTAAAGTACCTTTCAGGACACCTATTTTTGGTAAGCATATAAACGGATAAATGAGAGTGAAGGTAAACGCGTATGAGCTTCAGGCTCAGGAGGATATTAATACTTTTCCGCCCGACAGCGTCAGATGGCACATGCAGTTATATCAGTGGGGCACAACTCTGTGTGGGGTTTGGTGCAGACAAGCATGAAGACATGCTTTATTTTTTGTCATAGGTAATGTGATGATACGTGATGCTACAACAACCTTTTCGCAAAGGATTCAGAATCAGAAACATGCTATAAATAAATATATGCTAAAATAGATTCCGATGGGTTTATGGGAGAGGGAGAAAAAAAACGTCACTGTTTATTTTTTCTCCCCACAAAAAGTCTTTGAGTAAGAAGAAAGTTCTTGAAGGTGAAAGGTAGAAGCAAACCTTTTAATGGCCTTACCAGGTCCCAAGACTGCATGAAAGTTAAGGTACTGTTTATCGGTGCGGTTCAGTCTCTGTGTAGTAGATCACAACCCTTTGTTTATCATCCTGTGTCATGCTGCTAACAGCATAGCTTTCTGCCTGAGGTCTAGTGCTGAGCAATGCGACGATATAGCAGGGATAGAGTGAGGTAATGAATGTAAAGTGTATGCAGGGGAGGATACAGGCAGTTAAAGTCAGCGGTAGGACAGTTTTTTCCTCCACAGAGAACAAGCCAAACCGTAGTCACTTTTATAAAAGGATAATGAAGGAATATAAAACCTGCTGTTCTGTAGCTTTGCTTTGACAAAACCAAAATAGGATCCAGCTAGGACGAGTGTCTCACAAACAAGCATCTGTATAGCAGATTAAATAAGTTGTGGTTTTCTCTCTAAAGCCTGCTTAAAATACATGAAAATAGCACTCATACTGAATATAGATGTCAGGGCAAATGTTTTGCTCTATTTTGATTAATTGCATTGTGTGGGTTTATACAAATCTTTACAGAGATGTCATATTGTAACTGCAGCTGACATTTTGCACAAATAGAAAATCAGCAGGAGTACAGAACAAAGCCAAAGTAGCATATGTTCATCATTAAAATATGTGTGAAAGTTCTTTCTTGACCTTGGTAATAATAGTTTTACTAGATGATCTTAACTCAAGGGCCACTTACCAGTTTTCACTGAATTTTTAAATGCATCTATGAGATTTTAAAATAAATATTTCTGAAATTGCATACTGTAGTATGTGAATGAAACGTGCCCTTCACTGCCCTTTTGTCTGTTGTTTTGTTAACCTTGTATACAATTACAACATTAGAATCACGTGTATAATACAGAATATTGAATATGTAGTGGTGAATAGTAAAAAAGTAAATGTACTCAATTACAGTAATTACTTAATAATGGTAATTGTACTTCACTTGATTAAATCTATTGTTGCAGCTATATACTTCACTACATTTCAGAGGGAAATAAAATCTGTATGAAGGATGCTGGACATGATTTAGTATGCAATTGAGTATTTTATACCGTACCTTTACGTCTGTAAAGGCTGTAAATATATCTTGAACACTGAGAATATGGAATGAATCTTTGCTGAAACCCTTACTTTAATTGGTGAATATTGTTCTCATTATCAATAGCTGTGTCTGCCACTGCTGCTCTGTATACATTGCTTAACCTGGTCATTGCAAGTGGAAGTCAATATGTACAATGTTACTATTGACAATATTTTATTTTTATAAAAATGCAATTATACCTAAGCGTGGGAGATGACCTATTCACAACAAATTAAACTTGTTTATTCCATGTTCTATTTAGAAGCTGCAGAAGTGTGAAAATAATGTGAATAAAACGTACTCTGATCCCCATCTTAAGCAGTTTGCAAGGTGTGCTTTTAGCTTTACCGAGGAGTGTTAGTCGAAGAATGGGAGAGCATTAAAACATGCCAATAGAGCAGTATTAGTCAACAGCCTAAGTCAATACACCCCACTGGGCTGCATGCCTTTCTACAAACACAAGCAATCGCTTAAGAAGGCCTCGGCACTAGATAGGAACATCAATTACAGTAAATTACACCAAAACAGTGTGAAACACTTCAATTTGTTAAATCTCCTGAGCTGTCTGAGCTGTCTTGGATGAAAGCAGAGCAGAGCTGGAGTAAAAAAACATCTTATAGCCCTAGCATGCAGTGCATTGCCCTATCTATCTGTGGTCTTGTTTATGCATTGAATGAGTTCTTTTTTATTTTGGTACCTGAGACTTACTTAAAAAGCAAACATGCTCAAAATATTTCACTCTGTGTGCAGCCTGCTTTTTAAACGTAGAATTCAAAATAAGCACACTGTGTTGCAGCTACATATTTGAAAAAAATACACATTAGCTGCAATGTGTGCCTGGATTTCTGTTGCCAATGGGCATTTTAGGATACATGTTGTACTTTCAGATTGGACCAAGATCATAGAGTTGAAAACACATGCAAAGGCAGGGTTAAAAGCCCTTTATGTGTTTATTAAGACATTTACTTCAAAGTCATGCGACACAGGTTTATAAATCCTACATTGGCTACACTGAGACAATAGAAACAG